TCCTCTATTATTTGAGGAAATTGCACTTCATTTTTTTAATACACATTTTATATATATAAATATAGGCGTCAAGACCGACAATCCCCTTTCATAAACTCAACAGCTTCTCTTATAAAGGAATGAAAGTTGTGATCCCTCCACTTCCTTTACCCTGAAAAGACTAACCCCTTTTCTGATGGTGAGACTTTCTTGCTCCTGTTTCCAGCCTGAACTCATTCATGGTCAATTTGGACTTGCGCAAAGGTCTCTGCTAATGAGCCACCCAAGGGGATGCTGCCAGCGGTCCTGATGGTGGGCTGTGCTCTGTGTTGAACTAACTGGTTGTGGGAGAGCTATGGAAACTTAGCACTGGGTTTTTCTTCCAAATGCCCCCGAAATGGAGCTCTGAGCAACCTGGTCTAGTGGCAGGCGTCCCTGCCCATGACAAGGGGGTTGAAACTAGATGATTTTTAAGGTCTCTTCCAACTCAGACCATTCTATGATTCTCTGAAAGTGCAGCTAAAGGCAGAACTGTGGCCTTGACTAGGAGACCTAGGCTGGGTTAGCAAGTGGGTGCCTTGTGGCCTCAGGTTGGTTCAGTGACTGATTTCATTTCTAGTCTAGATGTAGGATGCTAATGCATAGGGCTCCCTGTCTTTTCCTAGGACTCTGTTTGTGGCTTCCAGGGAAGGACAGTGGCCTCCTCTCTTCTCCATGATCCACATTCGAAGGCATACACCCCTTCCTGCTGTCATGTTAATGGTAAGGAGATCTGGCTGTGTGAACATGCTCTGTTCTTGCATTCTTGGCTTTCCTGCAAAGACTGGACAAGCTGAGGAGTTTTAAAGATTGTTGAGACATTAATTCAGCCTCTGAAAAATAAAAAAGGCATGATACAGGAAATGGCTGCAAAGTATTACATCCCCTTGAGCCAACAGTGCCATCAGTATACAAATACACTACTTTAAGTCCCTGCCTTATAACCTTGGACACCTTTTTTAAAAGTGATCTCCCTACCACCTACCACGGTTGCTGCTTGTTATTGTCCTGTGAAAGCACCAATAAGCTTTGGCTTTTTGGAAAATGAAAATTCCCAGGTGCGGTGGAAATGCTGGGAATGAACACTTGCAGAGATTGTTTCCTTTTTGGGTTGGTTGGTTGTTTGGTTGGTTTTTTTATGGCAATGGTCCAGCTACCTCCTAACTGCTGCAGTGCCTCTTAGTCAGCTTGGCTGACCTGCTGAAAACTTAGCAAGTGTCTTTGTAGGTAGCCTGTGTACTGGCAGGCCTTTGGATCTTGCTTGTTTTAATTGCCCTGCCTTGGACATAAGGCATCAAAGATCTTGCTGATCTTGAAAGGATTGCTCCTTTCTGTAGCACAACAGAAGACTGTGTTTAGGCCTTTTGCCTTCAGTCTGTGACACGTTTGTAAAGCTCTCTGACCTCTGAAATGTTGGGCCTGTGAAGTAGCTCCCTGGGGCTGCAGGGGGGCTTCAGGAGGTGACCCATATTACCCTTTCTAGTCTGAGGACCATGACAAGGCTTTAATGACTGTGTTTCATCTTCACACTGCTCAGTTCCCTTTGGTCACTGCCATGGTGTGTGTTGGAGATATCTACCATCTAATGAACTTCTTCAGCTTTTCCCGATGGCTCTTCATAGGATTAGCCACCCTGGGGCTCATTGTCCATCGCCACCGTCACCCGGAGCTGCACAGCCCATTCAAGGTAATGCACATGGCAGGCTGGAATGTGCAGGCTTGTCAAGTCTCTCTTTTGTTTGCTGGTAATTAGAGCATTACATGGTCATAGTTGCATTTAGGCTCTAAGGGATCTCAATCCCTGGTGCTCAGTAAAGGCATGTGGAGAGCTCCTGAAATTGGTTGATGTACCCAAACAGCCTGATGTGATAAATCCTATAAAGCCGGTTGTATGTGGTGTCACTAGCTGCATCTGTTAGAAGAACACTTGCTCCTGGGGACTAAGTTTCAGGCTAGGAACTGGGAGATGTATAGAAAGCAGTTCCCACACTCATCTCTTGTGGGCTACAAGGAGGGACCCTTGCCTGGGTTTTATTTCAGTGGTAGGTAATTCTCAGCTCTAGCTGAGAAACAGGAGAGTATCGGGCTTGGGGTAAAAAGAGTGGCCAGAGGGGTCCTGGGAGCAAACCTGACTCGAGAGGAAGCATCTGCTGGCATAGAAATACTGTCTAGTATAAAGCAGTGGTCCCTCTGGTGGCCCTTCTTAAGCTGCTGGGTGCTGGGATCTTCCTCATGTCAGCTGGAGCAGCTTTCTTGCGCTTGGGGCACCTTTCCCACTGCTGGATAATGTGTAGAAGGCACTTGGCCAGGGTGGTGCTTGAGGCAGGCACAGTTTGTTCCTGTCTCTGGTGATGCCTGCATGGTGCCTCCAGCCAGGCCTGGGGAGGAGAAGAGACTTCAAAGGCCACTGGCAGTGGGCAGCTGGTCAGCAAGAACCTTGGGGGACAGAAACACTTCCTGTGGCTCCCAGGGCTCCTCCTTGAGCTATGTGCATCCTGATGGAAAGTTTGGGGTAATTTTTCTTCGTGCTCTTTGCTGTCAGACACTGTGTTTGAAGCTTCCTAGTTTGTTGTCTGGCTGCACTCATGCATGCCTCCAGAACCAGACTTTAAATAAGTTTTTGCTTTTTCTTTCAAACCAAGCTTCTCAGGGGAGGTTTATTAGTGGGTGGCACTGCTGATCATTTCAGTTGCTGAGATTTTGCCCTGTTTTGCTTTAGACAGAGAATCAGAATTTTAACAGCTCCTAAACACTGGTTAAGCAAGGGAGGGAAATACTGGCCTTTTGGTCAGTCGGGTTGTTTTCCGCCCCTTCTCCCCCCAGTTTTACAAGCACTCGAAGCCCCCAGCGCAGTCCTCTGCAAGAGGAAGAGCTGCGCGCAGGTGGCGCGGGCACATGCTGCGCTCTAGTGGCCGGACTCAGGCCGGCTCCTGCCGCGGGCCTGAGGAGAACGAAACAGGACACACGTGCGACTGTGCTGGTATTTATTCTCCCTATAGCATTTTGAGTTGAAAATGGTGAGAAAACACCGGTAAGAGGAGGGGGAAGTTCTCTCACTCGCCTCTCAAGCAGATGAGCAGCATGAGTGTGTACCCGTAGGAGAGGCTGGCAGGGGATGCTCTGGCTGGAAAGACAGCAGGAGCACATAAGTTTGATGGTTGGATGTCTGCAATATCTAGACCAACTGATCTCTTCCAGCTTGGCATGGTGAGCATCCCAAATAGGATCTTTATTACTGGAAGAGAGATTGTCACCCTTGATGAGAACAGCAGCTCCTTCATTCCATCACCCACGGCAAGGAGTTACTTACTTCAGTTTGGATCCAGAGATGGAGAGGGTGTTTCACAGTTTTCTTATTTATTGCAGTCTTCTGATTTGCTCTCTAAATAACCCAGATGAATTGGCTCATCCAGCAGGGTATGGCTAAAGTGCTGACTGCTGCTTTCATCTTCCATCAGGGTGTTGCTGAAGCTCATGTTCTTGGTAGAGGTACCATAGAGAGAGGGAGTCTGGCTTATCCTGTTTTAGTCACTATAAGTCTTAGGCAAGCTGAAGGCACGTCAAAACAAGTAGTGAGTTTTATAACTAAAGAACAGTTTGATTCAAAGTGTCACTTCTATCCTTGGCTTCAGATTTTCCACCAGCAGTTGCCCTAGGTGACAAGTAGGTATATGTGCATGCACAGGAGCAGGGCATTTAGAGAGCAATGGTGCATAGGTGACTTCTCTGCTTGCTTGGTTTCCAATTGTAAGTGAGGTTTATATTTTAATGCACATGAATATAGGAGGCATGCACCTCACAGGGCACACTGGTCTCTGAATCTGATACAATTGTTTGCAATCTGATTGTACAGAAGTACAGTGCAGGACAGATACATGCTTCTTCTCATCTTCTTTAGATGGAGAAGTAAATACAGTGTGTGCTGGCATGTATGGAGTCTGATTTGCTACAGCCATCAGTTTTGCCTGACAGTCTTCTGTACTCTTTTCCCCAGGTTCCCCTGTTCGTTCCTGTCTCTTTTACCATCATCTGCCTCTTCACAGTGGCTATGTCTTTCTACTCAGACCCTGTGAGCATTAGCATCGGATGCACCGTGGTTTTAAGTGGTTTTCCAGTCTACTATGTCCTAATTCATAGGCAGATGTCAGACCGTTGCCGTAACCTGTTTTGTAAGTATGCGTTTGAGTATTGTGGACTTAAACACACTCAGGATGCTGGTTTGTTCCCAGGGCTCATCTCTAATGCAAATTGTTCCATAACCAACAGACCTCATGAAACCTAAATCATGACCCCTGGCACCCCTTAAGCAGCTTTCCCAAGGCACAGCCTCCACAGCCAAATTTGTTTTAACAAAGACAGGGCTGAGGTCTGCCAACACGGGGAACTGAGAAGGTCGCTTTCACCCCCCAGCCCTGGTTCCTACTAAACTTTATTGTACCTTTGAGATCACCATCTCTGGGTCAAATTTGCCTGAGACTGAGCACCAAGACCAAAAGTTAGGATGGAGACACTGACAGGCGGACACTGTAACCCCTTGTTATTAACAAATATAATTGCTGAAAGGCTGGGGGGAGGACTGGTAGGAGAAGACAGTGCTGCCTGAGGTCTGTCTGCTTGGGGAAGAGGCCAGGATGGTTAAGGCACAGATGTGGGCATGTAAATGAAATACATGTCCGCTCCATGTAGTGTTTAGTACAGATTTCCTTTGCATGTAGCTCTTATTTTCAGCCATATATCAGGATTTCCTCTGGACTAAGCTTCCTTCCTTTTTTTCCCACCCTTTCAGATTATCTTACACACAAACTACAGTTACTGCTGGAAGTTGTCCAACAAGAAATCAAGACTTATTGAGAAAACTGTCAGAACTCACAGGAGAAAATAAAATCTACTTACTCCATTTCTGACACCTTTGATCCTTCCAAAAACAGGCCATGCTTTTATTCTTTTAGTGACTGCAAATGAGGATGAACCTGGGCCAAAACCTTGCTGCAAGTGTTCCCAAGCTTGCCAATTGGGATTGGGATGCACGTATCACATCTGCTTCTGCCCTTTTCTTTTTTCAGAAGAAAAAAATTAGCTCTCTGAAATGAGCTTGCTTTGCCTACAGTGTCTTTGAAATCAAGATCCTAATTTTGCAGCCTAGCCTGGTCCTGAGTAAAACTGTGTGTGTATACGCACACAATATTTTATTTTCCTAACTTGGCAAATAGAGGAAGGGAGCATGTTGCAGTACATAGAATCCAATACATGGAAGCCAAATGCAGGTTTCAAACTGAAGTGCTATAGTATCTGTGCTGTGGGCAAGCATTATGAAGGGAGAGGGGTGGGGAGAGCAGATTAGAGAAAAGGCAGATGAATTGGAAAGGAGGAGGCAGGGGAATAAAACTTCATTCACCAAAAAGTAGAGATTCAGGTTAATAAGATATTTTAAAACCATTTCAAATTCAAATATTAACAAAGTAAGGTCAGAATGTTTTACTTTGATTATTCTATAAGCAGAATAAGTTTTTTTAGCTTTGAAATCATCTTTCAACTTTGAATTTTATTTTTCTGAAATGACATTTTAAAATGTACAAACACATTGAACAAAACCAGCTGAATATCAACTGGAATACGAAAGAATAGATCCTGATCCCTTCCTCAGCTTCCCAGCCCCACTGCTCTCCAGTGAATGACTTGCTGATTCAGTATGTAAATGCTCATTTGAACTAATGGCATAGGAGAGGTTTCGGTTATCGGATTACTTTGGTTTACATTATTAATGTGGCAACGTTATGTCCAGATAAAACAGCAATTAGCTATTTCCAATCACATAATTGTTAATCGTTTCCTAAAAGGTGGGAAGTAGCATGCTGGGACTCCTCTGATGATTGCTGGAGAGAGCAACAGCAGAACACGGAGCATTTTTAATCTTTTGTATCCAGCATTTATGTACTTACAATAAAAACAAAGTACCATTTACAAATCCGATGTCATCTACTGAAACTTGTAAAATTTTGGAACTAAGTAAGGTGGGTGTTTTTTTTTCAAAGCAATTGAGAGTTATTCTTGTTATGACTGCTTCCTGTTCCTGTGCTGAATTAAGCTGGGACAGCAGCAGTGTGGTTGGTAGGGCTCATTTCCCCACCTCCTCCCCTCCAATTTAATTTACAAGCTGCTGGACATCGTCCAACAGGAAATCCAGTCTTATTGAGAAAACCATTGAGAAAACCTACAGGAGAAGATACTGGCTTTAAATGCTAGTGTGGTTTCAAATGAGATCTAGAAATGTTTCCAGGAACCCAGACAAGAGTTGGTCCCTCCTCATGCCAGGCTTTGCTGAAGCTGAACCCCTTGGCACACCTTTCCACAGCAGCCCATGGACAGGACCCTGTGCGAGTGGCCAGAGAACCAACCTGCAGAAGACCTTGCAGAACCAGGTGAGCCTGGTCACCCCAACATTTCCCGAGTCCACCTGCCTAGGTGCTGATTTGGGGGATTTTCCACAGCTTGAGGTAGAAGCATGAGGTGCTGTCAGCCTGGTCCCATGCTGCAAGACCCCTGTGAGCACAGCGTGCCCATGCCGTAGCACCAGTACTCCCACATCAAACCTTGGAGCAGTTTGAAACCGCAACAGAGCTGCTGTGTGTCTGCAGACAGGCACAGGGAAAGGGTGAAATGTCCCTTCTTTGTTTCCTCTGAAGAGAAAAAGTGAACAAGAATCGAAATTCCTGGGAGAAAACTAAGAAACCCTGCCTGGAGGACCGTGGTTTTTTTTAATACAGGATAAATCGTTTGACATATGCAGGGAAACCACACTTGGGTGCCTCTGCTGACTGTGCAGGAATATGATCTTGCAGGGCTGTATATATGATGTCTGCTCCAAGACCTGTCAGATACTGGAAATACAGACAGATATAGGACTGTGGCTGCACTGACAGTGAGAAATCTGAGGTTCAACAGCTCCATGGATGACATTGCAATTAAAAGGGATAAAAACAATAAAAAAAAAGATGCTCACAAGGTATCGATTTACAGTGAGCTCAAGTCTCCAGTTTGTGGAGAGTTGTTTGCTTTTAGAGAGGATGGTATGCTGCTCCCAGCAAAGCTATGTAAACATTTTCTACCAAGCCAGAATGTTTTTCCTAGAGCTATCTCATGCATACTGAAGTTCTTAGCTTCAGTTCAGAAGTGTATTTTACTAGAGAATTCACATAAGCAAAAATGAAGCTCTAGGACCTGATCCTATAAATCTCATCAGTCAAAGGGAAGCATAAAAGCATAAAAGTTATGCTACTGTGGAGATGAAAGCCAGATACTACATAGCAGGTCAAAAGCCAGACAAGACAGGCCAGATGCAGAAGAAAGTAAGTTCAGCTTCATAATCACATTTGTGGCGTTATGTTTTGAATTTTTTTTTTTAATACTATGTCTATGAAATGCACTCAGAGTGCACCCTTTCCAGAAACTCAAACAGAGATTTATGTGTTTCAGCCGCTACTGATCTAGTGTGACTGGATCATCGTGAAATAAAAATGTTCAGGGTAATCCAACTGAACGCAATTTGTGTAACAAAAAAAAATTAAAGTAATGTTTACATCTGAAAAAGTTTGCATAGTCAAGACTACTTGACCTGTTGTTAAGCTTTATGCTTCAGTGCTATGTTGGGAAACACTGTCAGCTTTTTAGACTGAAAGGCTCGAGGTCAGACTGGAAAGCTCCTAACCCTTCTCTGATTTCCATGGGGAAGAGCAGAGCTGAGGATCAGACTTCAAGGTACAGGAATGCAAACACTTGGGACTGTGCACAGCTCAGAGGGCTGACTGAGCCTGCCTCACAGGGCTCTGTGCTTGGCACACACTGGTTTGTGTGGCTCCATGCAGCACTGAATACTGCAACCCCACCAGCAGTGTGATAACCAGCCTGGGGAGAGCATGTTGAGCGTTGTACCCACTTTCTGCACTGAGGTTTGGGGTTCACTTTGCAAGGCATCACCAGCTTTTGGCTTTCAAAGAATGATGTTCAGCAGAAGCTACTCCTTGATGAAAGGAGAAGGTCCCGAATATCCCCGGCCACTAGAAAGTTGGGAGGAATCGGCTTCAGGTAAGTGCTGGTGTGCAATGAAGGGGAACCAAGCAGTAGGAATAAAGCATGCTGCTTCGTAATGATGCTGATTTTGCAGATGTATCTGCCAGAAATGTCTGCTGCGCCTGGCTGGGTGTGCTCACGCCTGGCAGACGCGCATGCGTATGTCGCAATAACCATAAGGAAATGTTACTCAGCTCTGTTTTCCTGAGGGTCTGTGGCACAGAGGTATCCATGCTGTCCCATGGAGAGAGGCTTCGACAGAGACAGCAAGGTACAGATGTGCTGTTGGGAGTTCACAAGGAGTTCTCACAGGCCAGTTGTACTTTATTTTCAAAGGTCTTACTGCACCTGGGGCACCTTTCCCATGCGGAGCAGGGGTTCAACAGGCTCATCCAACCTGTCGGGCACAAGGTTGATGCCCCCAGCTCCCAAGGGTGGTAGCTGGGCAGCCTTCCAGGGGGGGTGGCACATGCCGGGCTGTGACAGCTTTCCCGGGGTTGCTGCTGGGCAGGGAGGGTCAGAGACACAGGAAGTTGGGGATTTCATGGCTTGGCTTTAAGGTCTGTTGGAGTTAGTCGTACCGTAAGTCATGTTTATATTTCATTAATTCATCTTTTCTCCTTGTGTGAGAGAAAAGGTAGTATGAGGTTGCTTTTTATGTTTAAAATTCCCTCTGTATCAAGTTATTCCTGTAGAGATATAAAAAAATTTACAGATGCACAAGATCCGATAGAGAAATCTTCAGCAAAAGGTGAAGGACACTACCTGTCCTGCCAGCAAAGTATTTCTGTCTGCTTTTTAAGTGTTTCATGTCTGTTTATTTCTAGTTGGGGTTAGTTGGTGAGTGGAAAATCCCTGCAAGGAGCAGAAATTGGAAAGTGAAAGCAAGGCATAACTGGACATTTTTGAAGGTTCATGTGATTAGGGCGGACTGGGAGCCCTGGATCTTGGCAGGGGAGCCAGCAGGGGTTAGCATCTGCCTATGGAGTGGGGATAGAGCGAAGAGGGAGGGAGGCAGCAGTGGAGAAAAGCTGCTTGGAAGTATCATCCCACCCCACTTGCCTACTTTCCTCTCCATTTCCCCCATCCCCCTCAAATTCCACATTTCAAATCCACAAACTTCAAATTCTTCAACCAGTGCTAGCAGCAGCACCATTGTGCTGTGCAGAGGGGAGAAAAGGGATGGCCACATCCAAAGAAACCTCCTGCTGGATCTCTTGAATCTCCTGCAGTGGGACTGATCTCCTGCAATGGTCGAGAAGACGAGTTTGGAGCATTTTCTAGGAACAGACCTGGCTGCTGTTACTGAGCAGAAAGAGCGACCGTGGTCTGAAGGCAGCATTGGAACAAGTGACATCTGCAAAGGAGACTTGAGTCTTTCCTCACTCTTTCTTCTGGCAGTCCAGGAACTGCCAAGCCTTTGTTGTGTGGACCTTTGCACTGTAAATAACTCTGTGAGGGAGCTCCTCCTATAACCATTTCCTCTCACTAGCCTGCTCCAAATTCCCATGATCCCTGCCGAAGTATGAAGGACGTCAGAGCCGGATGCATGATCATTTCCAGTTTCTGTTTCCGTATTGTGTTCAAATTCTTCAGGCAGCTCAGAGCAGACCCTTGCCACAGACCCTTGCAAGCTCCACGGCTGGCAGGGGGGCATCTCTCAGCTCTGGGTATGTGATCCACGATAGTTAATGTTGCAGGGACAGTGAAGTGGTGAAAAAAGTGTTGTCTGGGTCCAAAACTGGGATATTGACTGGAGTCTGAAGCACAGCAGCAAGCAAAGTAAAATCCTCCGAATTGGAATTATTGGTGGCTACCTGTTTCAGCTTCTTCTCTTTGTAGGTGCTGTGTCTCTAGGGTAGAGTGCAGAGCAGAGACTTTGCTGGTAAGTAATGATATCCCCTGCTCCAAGGAATTTGACCTTGTCTGGCTGTCAGACACCTGGCTAGCTCTCACTCCTCATCCTCAAAAGGACAGGAGAGAGAAAATAAGATGGAAAAGTTCATGAGTTGAGATAAAGACAAGAAGATCACTCCCCGTCTTCTCAGATTCAACTTCACTCCCCTGTTCCTGACTTTTCTACCTCCCCCTGCCCCTACACCCCCCCTCCCCCAATACAGCAGGGAAGGGAAATGGATGTTGTCCTCGGTAACTCAGTGAGAGTTGCCCTCTGCACCTCCATCATGCTCAAAAATTTCCCATGCTCCAGAACGGTTCATTTCCCATGGGCTGCAGTCCTTCAGGATAAGCCTGCTCTAGCAAGGGTTCCTCTCCACGGACTGCAGCTTCCTTGAGGGCCTGCCCACATGCTGCAGCGCGGGGTTCTCCATGGGCTGCAGTGTGGATATCTGTTCCACCATGGTCCTCCACAGGTTGCGGGGAGGCAGCCTGACTCACCATGGCCTTCTCTAAGGGCTGCAACGGAATCTCTCCTCCAGCACCTGGACCACCTCTTCCCCTCCTTCTTCACTGGCCAGCGCTGTTTCTCTCACATTTTTCCTTACTCCTCACTGCTCAGCAGCTTTCTCAGAGGCACCACCAGCTTGGCTGATGAGCTCCGCTGTGTCCCGCAGTGGGTCTGCTGAGCTGGCTGTGTCTGGTGTGAGGCACCCCAGGGGCTTTGCTCACAGAGGCCATCCCTTCAGCCAACCACTGCCAGGACCTGAGCACCTGCACCTGGTACAGTACCTGTGAGCAGCAGCTTTGTTTTCCTGAACATTGAAGGAGGGATGATGCTATCAGTGCCTTCTGAAAGCACTCTGACTTCTGCAGCTGATCACACACTGCTCAGAAGCCAACTCTTATGCCTGTTAGCCAGGTGGCATCACTGGCCTTCATGCAACAAGCTGAATTTATTGTGTCAAGTGTATTTCCTTACTATGTGTATTTTAGAAAGATATATTGTAGAGAAAAACAGTGATACAGGTCCAAGACAGAGAGGTCAGGGTTATTTCTGTGGTGCTTACCATGCCAATGTCACGGGTTTACTTTTTCTAAGAAAACCAAATGGGAATTTTCCTTTGCCCTGCTGCATGTGGGGGAAGGATATTGAGTTGGGAAGACAGCTCTCTGCCTTGGGTGATTAACTACACAAAGGAGCTGGCTGGCAGAACTACATTCCAGGCTAATGGCCCTTCCAAATCTGCGGGGAGGGGAGTATTTTCTCCTCCTCTCCTTTCAAACGGGGAACAGTTCACTTTTTGCCTTAAGGGAGGCAAGGTGTGTGTGTATGTTTTGCACTCGACCTGGTCATCTGGCTGCTCTCCTCAGCTTGCCTGCGCGCTGCCCCTGCCTCCAGCCCGAATCTGCTCAGAATTCATCGGAGAGTTTGTGCTCGTCGGGGAAACGGAGGAGTCCCGACCGCAGCCAGCCGCAGACAAAGTGAGTTTCGTGGGAAAGAAACCGCCCTTCTTTCCCCTTCTCCCCTTCCCCTCCTTGGAGCTGGGAGATCTCCATTGCGGCTCCTCCCGTGATCCGGGCCCCCCCGCGGTGGCCGCCAGAGCCCAGCAGCGCTCCCCTCCCGACCGCCACGGAGCACTGCAGGCTCTGCTCCTCCAGCCATCCAACAGCGCTCCTGCCAACCCTGATCAGAACCGCGCTAGGGGACAGAGAAGTATCAGGCTGTTTCCGTTTTGAAGGGGACTTTTGGGTACAGGATTATTGCTCAGTTGTTTTTGTGTTCTGTTACTGTTTTTTGCCAATATACATATATCCTTTAAGAAAGGGTTGTTATTTCTTCCTTTTTCCGTGCTTCCTCGATTGGAGCCTTTTAATTTCGGATTTACAATTGCTGAGAGAGAGGAGTTTGGTCTACCTCATAACTCATCCTCCTTAGCAAAACACTCCAGTCTCTTTAAACTGAGACAGTCACATAAATGTGTAAACAGCAGTACCTTGGTTCTGGGGCAAACCTGCACTTCCCAGCTGAAGGGGGTCTCCTTTTTTGAGAAGTGATTAGATTTCTGATCAGACCAGGGATATTGCATACTTTGACAGCTTTGGAAGATCCTACTTGAATCTGGATTTCTCTTTCGATGTAGGGCAGAGCAAGCAGCCAAGCACTGATCAGCTCTTCTGCACCTGTGTTATCTCTGGATTCATCTGTCTGCTCCTGAAATGGAGTACTCCTGGTATTGGCTTGATGATTCTGAGCAGTGGATTGAGTATGGGGAAGAGGTGAGATCCATCTGCTGTTGATGCCAAAAGCTTTTGTTAAACCATCTTTGGACAGTTATTTAGGGCACGTTGTTCTGCAGCTGGTGTGTTCTACACGCACCGCTGGGTGCCCTTGCAGTGCTGCTCCGATGCTCGGGTCTTATTAATTGTCCCTCAAAGCAGGACTGGAACTCTGTGAAAGCTTTTAAAGGACTGGCTTTGAAAGTGTGTGCATTTTCCAGAGCTGACAGACATCTTTTGGCTGAAGCTGACCACACAGGCTGAAGGCTGCTTTGTTGCTGTTGTTACAAGCAGCTGTTCTCTGTGGGGTACCCCTCTGTCACTGCAGAACAAAATGCTTTAAACCTTGGAGGCTTACTTCAGAGCAGCATCACATGATAGAGGCCTGGGGAAACACTGGTACTTCCCCACAGTGACTCCTAAACCGAAGGGTGGTTTCTAACAGGTATAATTTCGTTGTTCTTTCTACAGCATCCAGATCACTGCTCTGCCAGTGTAACGTCTGCATTTCTGGAGAATGAATATCTAGCTGACAAGAACGCTGTTGTTTTTTTCTGGGCTGGTTCTCAGCACTATAAGATAAACTTTGCAGGTGAAGTATATCCTTGTTTTAAGTCTGTTACACAGTGCAGCTGGCTCAAAGGTATTTTCTTCCGTGCAGAGCTTTCACCCTATGTCTGCATCTCTTTGAACAGGTCTTTTTCCTCCTGCAAATTTTCTCCAATGCTACAGAACTTGAGCAGTATGTACATTTCTCTGCAGTTCTGAGATGCCTTGCTCAAGCTTCTACACTTGGGCATCTGTAGTCAAAAAAGCGTCTCTGACAATATTGTATATTCAGAAGAAGGGTTGAGAGTAAATGCTTTGCTTCATGGCACCTGGCTTGTTTGGATTTATACAACTAAAGAGAAGGAACGAGAAACCAGAAAGAAAACCAAAACAAAAGACTTAAAAGTCAAGTGGTGAAGAAGTGAGACCATAGTGGACATCTTGCAAGCTAATTATGGGGAGAAAAAGCACAGAGTGCAGCTAATGAAAATTTAGGGCTGGTTGCACAGAGAGAGAAACGGGAAAATGAGAAATGCTTTTCTGTTTCTAATTTATTTACCCATCTTAAAACTCCTGTTAGTTTTCCAAACTTTAAATCTGTTTCCTGGCATGAATCAAAAGTGGTGTTTAAAGGAGGAAACAATGGATAATTAGCCATGTCACACAGCGTGTGCTCTGTGAGATTGTTACAGGACCAAGAAGAGAGGGCAGACTTTCCTCTTAGCACCACGTAACAACCCAGTGCTGCCAGGAAAGCCAGGTTTATGGCCCCCATTGTATCGAAAACTCTTCCCTGCTGCAGGCCTACCATCAGACCTAGTTTTCTCTGGCTGGCAGCCTGGATGCAAATACATATGCAGGTGCAGTTGGTGATTGGTTGCCTTTGAGTTTCACAACCTGTGCTTGCTGATCTCCAAGTAGGAGCAGTGCAAGTGAGAACGGTAATGAAGTCTGGACTGGGGTGGGTGGGATAGAGAGAGCCCCACAATGCAATATTCAGGGCTACCTCCTCTTTTATTTTTACTTAACATATAAGAGTGTGTTCCTGGACAATGAATTTTTGAGTTATTGTGTTTTTCTTTGAAGACATGGTCCAAACAAATTTGCTCTTTAAAACACAAAGAAAAGTTATTCGATGGCCAAAACATCCGTTACCTGAAGGTGGACAAGACAGAAGGTAATATACATGCATTATTTAACAATGTCTCTATAGGACAGCACCTTTCTGCTAAGAAGTTCCTCCTACCTGTCTAAAATGCAATTTTAGATTTCTTAAATTCATTTTTAGATGACTCTAATGGTAAATTTTGTGGCTACAGTATTTGTAAATTATGCAACACTTCTGTGAAGCACTCTGGAGAGATGTTTGGTGGCAGTGTCTGGCAGCTGTGAGAGACCACTAGAGTGGATTTGTTCTCTCTGTGAGAGGCAAGGCTACGTAAGGCTGACCCAACAGTGCCAGGAATTTTTATTCCTTGATTTATGCCTCAAAGCTAATAAATAAACTGTGCAGAGATTAGGAGCAAGAGACTGCCAATCCCAAGAGCTGTGGAGCATATGGATACCATTCCCTGGAAAGCTGAGGATATATTAAAACACAAATTCAGGCAAATCCCCCTAAATTAAATGAACTAGAGGCACTTACTTGAGATGCCCTATCTCATGGCTTTTTTTGAAGGAAGTTCAGCTTAACAGAATTGGAGCACATCTGCTGTAAATGTCAGTTGTGCTACTGATTTATTTTAAAAAGAGCTGCCTTTGCTTCAGAAACTCACCAATAGAAAGTGCGTGTGAAACTGAGGGTTCAATTTAAGGGCTGGTTCAACCAAAGGGGGGTTAATTAAAAAAAAACCCTAACCAAACCAAACTATAGATCCTGAATGGATGATGATGCTCCTATTGCCTGGGTTAAAACCTGGGTGCCAGGAGGGCATAGTGCTGGAAGTTGTTGAGCACTGACTGTGCAGTAGTGCCTGCAGGGCACAGCTGTGCATCCACAGGCTCCTGGCTGGCTTGGTCCTGGGGACGGGTACCACTGGCCACCCATCTGGCCAGTGAATCAGAGAAGAGTGGCCGCATGGAAGGAGAGGGCTCATGCTCTGGTTTCCTTGATATGTTCAGGTAGCACACGTGGAGGGCTGTCTGGAGCAGTTGGATAAACCAGTGAGCTAGGAAGGTGTTACTTCTCATTTGAAGCTCTTCTACCAGTATCTTGACCTGCCAAGGGATGCATCAGTGCCGCTAGGATGTGTGTGGAAATCTAAACTGGGGAAAGGGATAATAGTTATGAGAAAAGTAAAACAAAAATAAAAATCCAGGGATACCTGAATGCTGCTGTAGAGCCCGTGATTGGATTCTTCAGAAGGGGGTTTTGGTTAGAAGTGTCGACTAAATTGCTTCTCTTTCTCTTCTGCAGCCCAAACACGACTCTATCTTGTTCTGTCTATCCTCCACAATGGGACCAGTCTGCACTACCTGACACTGGGTTCAAGGTAGGTCTTTCCAGCTCTCCAGCGGGTAGGATGAACTGTGTCCTGTACTGATTTTCCTGAGAACATGAGTCAAGGCAGTTGAGATGTTCCCAGCTTTTAAACGTGTCTTATAAAAGTAAGCAACTATGATGTGAAACAAGACTGACAGTTTCACAGTCAGAATAGATGTGTGTTTCCTGGGAAGCTCTCTGAGAAACCCCTACGATACCATGCAGGATAAGAAAGGCTCTTTTGGCCGTTACTGGTCTGACCTGTCCTTTGCACTGTCCCAAGGCACCTCCTCGTCTGATAAACTGGAGGAATTGCATCTTAAGGGGGTATTGTAATATTTCCCCCATTAATTTGAGGCAAAATGTTATTTGCTGTGGTAAAACTACAGCTTAGCCCTGTAGGGAAGGAGCTAGGGTGTCAGATTAAGGCAAAACTTTCCACTCTTCTCCAGCCTGAATACTGCTGTGCATTTTAACTTTAGGTTACTCTGAACTCAAAATAATCTGGATGCGGAGGTGTGTCCACCGAAGGAAGCTCATATGGGATTGCACTGATTTCCCTCAGTTAGTGTCTGTGCTTCCTCATGGGGAGAGGATGGTTAACAGGAAAAACAGAAGGAGCTTGTGATTTTTATGTAGATGTGAGGAGGTTGATGAGTCCTTTGGGAGGACTGGGAGTTGTTACTGTCAGTAATACCCTATTTTTGGTGTTTTTAAAATTTTCAGTTGATACAGCTCAGCTTTGATTCCCACGAATATGGAATAATCAAAAGGCTGTTTGAAAAGACGATGAAAGATTATTGCATCATTCAACTTCAGAGGATCCAGAACCCAACACTTTGGGAACTTTTTCAGTGGTTTGTATCTATTTTTTTTTCATTTTTCTTATGGTATCAGAAGACCAACATTTCCTAATCTATTGTCCTCCATAGCCTACCTTAGGAGTGGCTAAATCCAGTGGCTCAGCAGATGTGAGGCTGCCATGTACCTGTGTGCCTGGGTCTGGTTGGTAGTGAGGTTCAGCAGATGCTCCCAGTAGGTGCATGTGCATACACAGAAAATATATGAATACACACAGAGAAATCAACACGGGCAGCACAGCACTCGTGCAATTGTGAACAGCACCAATGGCCTCACTGCTGTCCCTTCCTCTGGCTGAACAGAAATGAGTGTCAAAATGAATGTCAATATAAAAGGCTGTTGATGGAATACATATACATTGATGGATCCCTCTAGGAGCTGGTCTTAGCCTACTCATCTGCTGGCTCCTGGGTCCTCTTATCCCCAGTTATGTTTTGCATAGACACATACACATGCAAATGGGTCTTGGTAGATTTCACAGTGTCTTCAGCGATTGGCCTGGACCTCCCAGTCCCACTCATAAGCAAGCTCAGACCTCCTGGTCTCTCCAGCATCTGGCCTAGACTTATGACTGCTCCAAAACCTGACTCCTGGGCCAGCTCCCCTCCTTACTGGCTGTCCAGCCTTTCACTGGCTGGTGATCACACACTGGCACACGTGCCCTCGTTTGCTGCAGTTGCTGGGGCTGTGGATATATGGCTCCTGTGACCCAAGGTCCTACTCCAGTTGCCACACACAGACCCCCAACACGTGCATGCACACAGGCTGGAGACTCCATCACCAATGTAAGAGTTAGAAATTGGAGTTTAATGAGAAGATAGGGCAGACTGTACTGATCAGGCACTGGATGTGGCCAAACCAGCCTACTAACCAGGCAGTGGCCTGTTTTTACACAACCAAGCCTTTTTACCCCCTTATCCATCTATTTTCCTGTTTATCTTTCTCAGACCATCCTGATCTCACCCTTCTCCCACCTACAGTTCCTCTTGTCAAACATCGCATTGAAAGTCCAGTGCAATCCCTGAATGCACTTCCCCTCTGTCCCATAACAAGTCCCATACTCTCATGGGCAGTACCCTCTTTATGTCTGTGAGCTGCTCTGGGCCTGTTCCGTTGTTCATGGTGCCAAGTGTCTCCCTGATCTGTGGGGTTGAGGCTTCCCTGGGGCTGAGGCTCCCGTGGGGCAGCCCTTGAAGGAGACTGGGGCTCCTCTCTGTGACTGGGGTTGTCTCTGTGTTCTTTTGTGTGTGTGGAAATGAGCCTTTTATCACATAACCTAATGGGTATGTGTGTGTGATTCTTGCTAGTGTTATTCGAAAAATAAATTCTTTTCCTTCATCATAACTGAGTTCTGGTATTTCAAGTTTATTCCTTTGGTTTTAGTTTCTTCCATGCAGGAGTTTAAGAAAAAAAAAGGGAGGGACTTTTTTTATGATAAAGGTGGAACAGAGATTATACAATCTTCACCATGGGTTCATACAGCTCAGTTTTATAATCATATTTATGCATTCAGGATTTATATAACATGAGAACTGACCATTTTCCAGTCAAGAGATGTTTGTCTCTTTACTCTCTTATGTGGTATGAAGTTGTGGGTGACACAGTCCATAGCGATGCTGAGAACTTTTTGTTTTGCTGGCACGAGCCAGCTGTGCAGCAGGGTACCAACAGAAGTGCAAAGCAGGCAGTAACCCCACTGAGAGTGGTTTGTGTCACTGTTTCTCCATGACCCAAAAGTAGGAGGAGTTGAGTTGGGAAGTTGTCCTCGTGTGAACCAGGATAACAAGTCATTCTTTTTTTTCTTTTTTTTTTTGGTCTCTAGGCAAAAAGAGAAGATGAAGAAGGTCAATAAATCAAAATGGGTGGATGAGCGGCTCCTGTTCCATGGGACAAATCCATCCCACGTGTCTGCCATCTGTGAGCAGAACTTTGACTGGAGGCTCTGTGGGACTCATGGGACAATGTTTGGAAAAGGTACAAGTGCAGAAGTGTGGCTGTAGGGGCTGTAGCAGCATGGACTGCAGACCCTGGCCAGGCTCGTGTGTGGGTGTGATGTGACTGACTGTCCCTGACCCCTGCACTCCTGCCATTAGAGCACTCTCCCCTGCCTCCAGCTGCATTGCTGCAGACAGCATCCACAGCAATCCCTTTCCAGGAGGGACTAAAAACACCCCTCTTTGCTTCAGGTACCTGCAGTTCTGCAAAGCTCTCGGGCAGGTGGGACCGGGAGGCTGATGGCGAAATATGACTGGAGTTTGTCGATGCTTTAAAATAAGCCAACGTGTGTTGCCATCTTGGCAAGAATGTGTGTAGGGCTACCTGGAGTTGTTGAATCACTGGCTACCAAAGTGCTGACCACAGATGCTTGTTCCTCAGCTGCTGTATTGTCTTACCTGTGCCTTTTTCTGGTCCCTAGGAAGCTACTTTGCCCGAGATGCCAGCTATTCTCACGAATACTGTTCTGCTCGCAATGGTCACTACACCATGTTTGTAGCTCAAGTTCTTGTTGGAGACTTTGTTCAGGGAAACTCTAAATACTGCCGCCCTCCAGCCCGAGCCAGCAATTCAAACAGACTTTATGACAGCTGTGTGGATGACCCAATAGACCCTTCCATCTTTGTCATCTTTGAGAAGCAACAAATTTACCCTGCCTATATCTTGAAGTACAGCGCTGAGACCCAGTGTGTGGTCCTGTAATGAATGGTGGAATCTCCTTTGAATTCACATTGAATAAATTACTCTTCATTAATTCTTTTTTAATCTTTGTTCAACTTTAGTAGTAGCTTTGGAACACTTCATAATGTGGTTAACAAATATCATTCCCCTGATGGTTTGGGTGGATAGTTTTTTTGGTAGGGGCTATTCTTTTTCCAGCAGAAGGTGCTAAACTTCAGCATTCACTCTAGCCTGGAACAAGGATGAGCTTGCCTTGCATACCCTGATGCAGTGACACCTACTGCTGCTGAAACCACCACCACTGAGTGTACAAATAACTGATACGATCACTTAGGGTTGATTCCTGCCTATGATGGTACTGATGTGCTGAAGGGAGACTGGGCAAGGAATGTGGAAGAAGGAAAAGTGAAAGAACCTACGTCGTGGTGCACAAGAGAGGAATCATGGCCTGTCTTCTCAGCAAATGGTAGGAAGCTCCTGCACTCGGGAGGCTTTGCAATTAATGCTGGCAAAGAACTTTGCTTTGTTTCCTGGTCTCATTGCTGACATCTCTTCTCACCTTGTTCTCCTATGTCAAGTTCGACCGCCTCTGTGACATCCTGTCCTTCTTCTGTCCCCACTGGGTTTAGGTCAAGAAAAGCAGGCATATTGCAGCTGCTGAAGTTAACCCCCCACCATGCCATGACACCAACAGTGAGGAAGTCTGTGGTGAGCTGAATAATGGCACACAGCAGTGTCCCACCAGTGCTGCAGAGCCACTGCCTGCAGCAGTGAGCAGTGAGACAAAGGGTCTGTGTGAGGGTGGCCACTGGCATGGCCACCTCCTTTCCACTCTGCAGGCTGAAGTTGGTGATGGCTATTTTGTGTTGCCCTGCTGCTGCCTGGCACTCCTCCCAGTGATTGAGAAGTTTCCCAGTGGTGTGTGCTCCAACTGGGATGATGTGGGGGAAGCTTGAGTTGTGGTCATAGTACTTGAAACTTGGTGGATGGTGGGATAACATTTAGGATGACCAATAGCATGGAAACAAAAATTTGTGGTTTATTTTAAAACAGTCTTGGTGTATAAGCTGTCATAATTCATCAAGAGTCACAAGCAGTTCAGCTGTGCATGCCATATGTGGAAGGAACCAAGAGGAGGGATGTGTGTAAGGTCTCATCAGTTTTCCTAAAGCCTGTTATTTTCAGGCACAACCAGTGCCCTTAGAAAATGTCAGAAAGACAACTGAGTGCAATGAGTCCCTGGGCTGCCCTAATTCATGCACTTCCATGTCCCACTGCTTTTGTGGGAGCCTAAGGGTTGTTCTTTTGCAAATTAATGATCTAATCTTGTCAGACACAGGTGAGCAGAGAACTTTCTATGCAGTCAGGAAGTAAAAATGAAAGTCACTTAAATGGACTTTTTCCCTGAATATAAGATATTTTTTATTTTAAAAAAATAAGAAAAGCACCTACCAGCTGCCACACACCTTTCTCAATAAGGAAAGTGGTGAACAGTTAGTTGCTCTCCTGTACTATCAATACTACTGCATTGGAAAACTGCCGTGATTTTGTAGATCTGTTTGCCATGGATTTGTCAGTTGTCCTAGATCTGCATCCTGTGCCTTGCCTGAACATGAACCTGAGCATTATTTGTACAAACAATAACAGAAAGTCTGTTTTAAGATGATAATTTTATAGCCAGCTGGGATTACATAGAGGTCTTTGTTTTACAGACTTGCTGCCTGGCTGTGGCACTCTGTGCTGCTGTGCATGGGCAGCCTTCACCCCTTGCTGCCTCCGAGTTGCAGGCTTGCAAGGATGAGAAGGGACTGAATAATGACCATTTTCAGCTGTCACCTTTCTTTGGTCCTTGCAACATTGCATAGCTTTTCTCCGTGGCTTCATCAGCTTATGGGGGGTTGCATGTGCAGCCTTTGGGCAGGACAAGGGCATGGAGATGGAGGGTTTGGGAAGAGTTTTGTTATTACAGAATTATGAGAGTTATTAGAAAAAATGCTCTGTGGATTGATGCTTTTGCACAAACCATCTTCTCCCATTCTTCTCCTCCGTGACAGAAGAAACCATCCATCATGTGGGAAAAAGTTGTTTCCAGCAAGATGGGCTTCAGAGTATGATTGCCAAACTTGTTGGGGGCAGGAGAAAGTAAGGGAGAGCCTGCTGAGAAGCAGGCCAGCCACTGAAAAAGGGGATGGGGGGGTGTTGATCTGAGAAAGAAGAAACCAGGCAGAGAACAGAGAGCACGTGCAAACGTGCACAGTTTGGAAGACAATGAGATTTTCCAGTAAGTCAAAACTATTTCTGACTGCAGTGAGAGTTTCTTGCAGCCTCCAGCTGCTTCCAGAATTAGGTGCTGGGTGTTATATTGAAAAGATCAGACAGGGCCTGGTGTGAGCAGCTGTAAGTGTGCTGATGTGGGACTGCTATGAGCTCTGCAGGTGCTGCAGTACTGGATCTGACATGGAAGCTGTCCTTGAGGAGCCCATGCTCTTTCACAGTCACTCTCTGCAACACTCCCTTTATGTGTCCCAAAGCAGCAGTCCTGCCTCCAGTGACAGGGAGAGTGGATGGGAAGGAGCAGATACAGGGCATTCACCTGCTTGAAAACTGACCTAATCAAAACCACCACAAAACACAACTCCAAAATACAGTGTTTGGCATTAGCAGTTTCCAGTTCTGCTTGTTTTGACATCAGTAAGGAAGCAGGGCGGGTTGCAGCATGAATTTTGACTGGCATAAGATGAAATTGAACCTCTAGCCCAGCAGATTTGGGAATCTAAAGCTAAAAGACTTGGGAATATTTCAGTTAGTGAGGCACTGAGAGCAGAAACTGCTAGTAAAAGTGAAAAGCAACTTAATCTGTGAATACTTCTTCATGGGAGTTTTGTTCAGTATTGTAAATTTGCTAAAACTTCTTCCCAACCTGAACCTCCTGCTACCTCTGGAGTGCCTGGGTGCCTTTGAAGTACTGAGCAGAAAGCATTCTTCACCAACCTTTTAGATGAGAAATGCTTGCAAACCAACATCAACATATGGAATAGTTGCCAGGCACTAAGTGTGGATCTGTGGACTTCTGAGTCATTATTTTTTTCCCCTGAAAAAAATCAGAGATCTCTCTTCCCTTTGTTGAGAATGGGTTAACTCAGATACATGGCACTGACAGTTTCAGAGTCACCAAGACGGTGATGGAAAAAAGTCTGGCCTGAGGAATTCCGTGAGTAGCCAAACTCATTTCTATGGAGTTTGCTGCTTCCCCAGTCAGCCAGACCGGCACCGGACAGGCAGGTGTTGGGGTGGGCTTGTCCTGCAACAGCAGACTCTCTTTGTGATCTCTCGGAGAGACAGCTGCAGGCACCGGCAGCTTTTCCAGAAATTTCATTAGCAATTGCTTTTCAGGAACGAGCAACAATTCAGAAGGATCAATTGCTTTTTGTAACCGTATAAATAATGCATTTCTTCTATGTACTCAAATGTGTACTGTCTTTGTCTCTGCCTGCAAAGCTGTTAGCTCAAGTGATCTTTTCATCATAATGTATTTCTAATTGATTTTCTTGTGGTGCTCTTAGAGCTTCACAGCATCCCTAGCTTTAACACAGTTGATTACATATTCATGCAAGTGTTCTAGGCTTTCTATTAAGTAACACCTCAGAAAGTTTTCAGGCTTTCTTTTAATTTACTGGTGCCTAGTTTGACTTTCCAGCATTTGTAAGAAACCTTTTTAACAATTTTGAGAGAATTTATTACAGGACGGCTGAACTGCAGAAACCCAATGCTTGATTGAACATGCTGAATGAGATGTTATTTTCCAAAACACTTAAACTTTTAAAAATCAACCTGAGCCCCATAACCTGGCACGACCACTGTATGGGTGCCAGGTGAAGAAAACACACATATTGTTCTTGGCATGACATGCTCAACAATTGCATTATTTAACAAGGCTGTTTCTAGTTCGAGGGAATAATTATCCCGAATCACTGTGTAGCTGTGGTAATGATGGGGGCTGAGGGTTTGGGAAAGGGCTTTAGGGGCCTGCAGGAGACAGATCTGTAGGAATCAGACTCTTATGTCTCAGGGAACAACTTTTTCTATTTGTTCCTGTTCTCTTGCAGTCCTGTTTCTTTTGATGAAGCCTGTTGTCTGGCATGTTGAGTGCTAGGCGCTATTTCCCAGAGCAACTCAAACTGTCTTTACAGAGTTACTTTTACATCTTGCTTACAAATGGTAGCAATAGGGAAGGCTGACCTGATTCTTATCCATCTGTTCTTAATAAGCTTAGATTTTTCTTCCAGATGGTTTGCAGCAATGTCAGAGGGCCTATTAATTGGTGTGCCAGTGCTCAACTTATAAATACTTGAGAAGTATCTACACATGATATCCCCACCACTGGAGGAAGCTCTGTCTTTACCCATCCCCAAAGAGAAGCTTTATTTCAATGTGTGTTCTCTGAATAATTTTTCTTTGTCTGTATCTTCAGCTTTGGTCTCCTTAAGTCAACATGGTTTTCTCTTTACTAAGTCCAAAGGAGATATTGGAAGTCCCACTGGTCTCCGCTTTAACACTTTGCTTTCACTCTTGCTTCTTGCAGGCTTTTTCTGACTGCATTTTGCAGATAGCCCCTTGCACCTTCCAGTTGGTTTTTCTTTTGAAAATTCTTGTAAGTTTATGGGGATTTTTACTATGCTCTGCAGATCCATCTCAAGCTGTGATCCATTATTCTGTCCTGAAGGCCAGATGACCTTTATTTTGCCTCTCAGCTCAAGCAGGTTTTTCTAAAAGTCTTTTTCCATATTCTTTTTCCTCTTTTATCCTCATACAATCTGACCTCATTTTTGCAATTACACAACCTCTGCCTTCACATAACTTATTTGACTAAATGTCCTCATATCTATCATAATGTCTTTAAAAAAAAAAACAAAACAACTCCCTTTTTGTTTTGCTTTATGGTGTTTTTTGTTTGTTGGTTTGGTTTGGCTTATTTGTTGTTTTGGTTTTTTTTCTTTTTCACTGGGCAAATCAAATTCTTTACTAACAGAATTCCCTCTCTTCATTTCTTTAGTCAGATATGTGATTAGTTTC